GACGGGTGATGCAAAGCCAAGTGGATCGAATATCTGAGCCACTTCAGATAATACGAGGCGTTTTGTGAGCCTGCCTTCCTTGCGTGAGCTTCGCGTTGAGAATGCAAATGTATCTTCTTGAGGGAGCCATTTTAGTCCGAGTATCTTGGTTGCGCAATCGTCGAATGTGATTGGTAAGCCTTGGTCTTCGCTGTCGGTGACAGTCTTGAGTATGTCGAGATGAGTAGCATGCCATTTTGCTAGTGGGAAGCCGCCCGCCATGCAGAGGCCCTTTAGTTGATGTGCGACCTCCTGCAATTGTTGAATCGTATCTGCACAACCAAATATGTCATCGACATACCTGCCATGAGTGATGGATGGCACAGCCAGTGGATATTTATTTCCTTCGTCCTCTGCTAGTTGTAACAGCGTCCTGACGGCCAAGAACGGCGCGGCCTTTGTCCCGTAGGTGATGGTTGTCAGATGGTATGGCACTTCATTGAGTTGATCGTCCATCCAGAGTATCCGTTGCAACTCCCAGTCATCCTTGTGAATTTTGATCTGCCTGTACATCTTGGTGATGTCCGTAGCGAAAATGTGACGGTGTCTTCGTATCCAGAGGAGAACATCTGAGATATTCAGACGCAATTTCGCTCCAGTATACATGAGGTCGTTAGCAGAGTAGCCCGATGTTGATGCGCTGGAGCCATTGAATACGACTCGCAGTTTTGTTGTTGTACTGTCAGGCTTGAGAACACCGTGATGTGGTAGGTAGAAGTGTGAGCAGCGACTGGAGATGGATGATGCCTTCGTCATGTGGTTGAGCGTCTCGTAATCCATCATGAATTGTTGATAGAGACGTTGATAGTTCACATCCCTTGAGAATCGTCTGCGTAATCCCTTGAGGCACTGATGGGCGACGTGGTACGAATCACCCAGGAGATATACTGGCGATTTGAGCGGAATCCTGACGACGTACCTTCCAGATGGATCACGAGAGTGTGTGGCCTTGAAGTGCTCTTCGCACCTCTGCTCGTCAGGAGTGAGTTGGTTGACATCGTGAGTAGGCACCTCCTCTTGAACCCAGAATTTCGTCAGTAACTCGTTGAGAGCATCCTCGTTGACTTGAGTAGAAGCATGGTGCGTTGATGTGCGTGTTGCTTCTCTCTTGACTGGTCCCAGAACGAGCCATCCGAAAATGGAGAGTTGCGCTATCGGCATGAGTGGAGAATGCCTGATGACATTGGGCTTGATGATTTGCCCGTAAGCGTCTGCGCCGATGAGGATGTCAACTGGCCGTGGGATGAGAAAATCAGGATCGGCTAATGCCAAGTTCCTGAGATGCGGCCATTCTTCTGGTTCCGCCTCGAACGATGGTAAGATTGATGTAACTGTCCGGAGGACATGAGCTTGAATTGTGGCAGCTGCGTTGGAATGTGTCGAGCATAACGTGAGTGACACGACTCCTCGTGTCCGAGTACACTCCTTGCCTGCAATTCCAGTGATGACAATACCTGAGTATTGACGAGGGATGTTGAGCTGCCGGATGAGATTCTCCGAGACGAAGGTGAGCTCGGATCCTGTGTCAATGAGCAGACGCGCTGAATGTTGTACTGTCGATGAGCTAATCACTGCCAAGGCTGTGGCGAGTAGAGTCGAGTATGATGAGCGGGCGTTTGAGCTGGCCTCGACGACTGCACCGTCTTCTTATGTTGCGGGCGTGCCCGGCGAGCCGCCAGGCTTTTGAGCGGTCGACGTTGTTGCTGATGCGTCGTGGAGCATCGTATGATGCCGCTGCGAGCACTTCTTGCACCCGCGCTGGGACTTACATGCCCGCACGCTGTGGCGTCCCAGGCAGTTGAAGCACAGGCGCTTTGTCACCGCCACCCTGTGCCGGTCCTGTGCAGACAACTCACGGAACTTCGTGCACATCACTATAAAGTGGTGCGCGTTGCAATGGTCGCAGGGGTACGACGAGTCGCCCTGATGAGTCGCCTGATGAGCCACCTGCTGAGCTGCCGACTTCCTTGTTGGTGAGGAGGCTGTACTGGGGCCTGGATGAGCTGTCGTACTCTCGATCCGTTCGAGAGCCCTGATCCGCGTT